CCACTATTTTCAAGATGGGGGGCGGTGACGTCGTAGATTCAATTACTGATCCAATGCGTAACATCTGGTCACACGAGCGCATTCCCTCATCTTGGAGCGAATCACTGATCGTTCCAATTTTTAAGAAGGGATCTCGCAACGACTGCGCAAACCATCGGGGAATAAGTTTGATCCCAATCGTCACCAAGTTAATAGCCTCCATTATACTTCGATGTCGTTTAGGGAGACAAACATCCGCGAACAACAAGCAGGATTTCAACCAGTCCGCGGTTGTATCGATCAAATCTTCGTAACTAGCAGCGATGTTCGTCAAGGGTGCCCTATTTCGCCATTTCTGTTCAATTTCGTTATAGATGGAATTCTGGAGAACACACTAAGTGGTCTCCAAAATATGGGTATTGAATAGGCAGCTTGAGAAAAGCTGTGCGATTTGAAGTACGCTGACGACATCGTTTGATTGTTCGAATGTACGGAGGATGCACAAAGAGCACTTGACAGATTAGTAAATTCTGTTGTTCTTCGGCATGTGCTTTGCACCTTCAAAGTGCAAAGTGATACTACAAGACTGGGTGTCACCGAGTTCTGTTCTGAAACTAGACGGTCAGGAATTAGCTGAGGTTGACTGATTCTCGTGCTTAGGTAGCTGAGCGACCAACGACGGTAGCGCACCAAAGGAGATAACCGCACACAGTTCTTTAACTCGAGGAGCGCATACAGAGCTAAAACATCTGTGGCGGCGACGTGACGTATCACTGAAGTTGAAAAGTCGTGTATACTGCGCCACTGTACGACCAGTTCTGCTTTACGGTTGTGAGACCTTGAACTTGCGGGTAGAAGAAATCCGTCGTTTACCAGTGTTCGACAATCGATGCTTACGTAGTCTGGCCCAAGTGGAATGGACTGAGCGGGTTAGTAACCTAGATGTAAGTTTTCGGGTGTTTGGGAATTCATCCAACAAGAACTCGCTGTCGCATCGAATCCAGCTCAATGGGCTCCGTTGGTTAGGACACGTTATGCGTATGTCCGACGGTCGTTTACCGCAGCGCGCAGGCTGGAGAAAGCCACGTGGAGATGAAACATGAAGAAATGCACAGAGCGATTAGGTAGAGTAGGCGTCTCTCGTCTTCCGGGGTGGGGTTCAAAAGACTCCGTAACCGCATGGTTGGAGACAGTGAAGGTCATGGCAGTGAACCGACGGTAGTGCTGTTCTTGTTCTCACATTTTATCAGACCAGAATGCCTGAAATAGTATGTAGGCACAGTTGAACTGTTTACTCTGTGTGTTGACCGTAGAGGTTCGCTTTCTTTTCCCTTCCCTAAAAATAGGTCCAATCCCTGCCCTCCTCACACGTTATCACTTACCTTGTATGCAATGAGTTTGGCAGCGATCAGTGTATTACGCTGTACAATGATGATGATGATGATATGTGGTGAGAATAACAGATTAAGGGTAAATCTAGAAATCTGCATTATTAGCTTTGAAGGATGAAAGTTGACACCGCAAGGTTGAAAGTAAGCAACATCAAAATTAGCTATGGACAGAAAAAAGTTAACCCTATGTTTATATATATATATATATATATATATATATATATACCTCCTTAACAGTATAAACAGTACAATTCGGCACAAACTATAACTTTACAATTGCGTCGTTACTTGTTTAATGTTAAGTAACATTTAAAGCAATAAGCAAATGTTCGCTCAAGACACCGATCTGTTTCTTCAGGAAACATTGAAGTGAACGGCGAAAGGGGTACAGCTCAGAGGACAGTATGTCCACGAGTACCGAGTGAGTACCTCTGTGTCCCCACGCAGATCGGCTGTAGAGCGACTCTCAGGTTTTGACCAGTCGGCATACCCTCGACCGCTTCCACGAAAATCATTATGTGGTCGTGATCGAAGCGAACAGCCTATATTCAGTTGTTGTGGAAAAGGTTCAAAAATGGACGCTCTCGCTTTCACTGAGTCCGGCTGTGGAAAAAGTGAGGCAGTACGGTACACGGATTTCAACAACTAGAAGAAAGATGCGGCAAGAATGGTTACGAGGGTGTTCGAAGAAATCAACCGATTTGATGCCAGAATGACGACAGTGGGCGCATGAAATAGCTAAAATCAACCAAACTACATAATTCCATCATCTGAAACCAGAAAATGAAGAGAATCTAATGTACCGGAATATACCAGTGACACACATTGAATGCAAAACGCAGTTTAGTGAAAAAGCTTTTTTCGGTGACTCATCAACTGGCTAATACGTCACATTCTATATCACATCATTTTGTATAGAAAAGAGGAAACAAAACTAAAGATTATTCAGATGGGAGTTGTTGTTATTGTTTTCTGTTCCAATTTCACAAAACCGGATATGGTTGATCCCGTCATTGGAACTTAAGCTTGGTCCGTGTTAATTGTGTGATTTGGGGTGGGATTGATGGGAGGGGGAGGTGGAGGAGGATGAGGATGGGAGGTGGAAGGCCATGGTAGGTTGAGTGACTTCACAAACTGTTTTTGGGTGCACAAGGGGGGATTATGTAGACGAATTCCAACCGCCTCTGCGGGGGCTAGGATACGATTTTTAACCGGCTTTAATCTACGACCTCGAACACAGTAGAGAGGCCAAAATGCTTCAGTTACACTCACTGTGTGATCGGACTCGACGAGGTGTGAAACAATGGCACCTGTAATAGTTTTAACCACACCAGTGTTCAGCCAGGCCGGATGGTGTTCCCGAACTCGTGTAGATAGGCGCCTGCTCGTGCGGCCGATTTACGTTGCTCCACCGGAACGCGTAAATCGGTAGACACAAAATGAGACTACAAAAGCAGGAATCCGGTCTTTGGGTTGCGAACACATGATCTAATGTACTCAGTGGTTCCAGGAAAATTGAAAAATTATAGACTGGCAAACGGAGAAGCGAAGCAGTGTGTAGTTTATTCTTCAAAGAGCAATAAATGTTTACTGTTCCCATTCCAGTGGACGACAAAAAATTTGGACGATGATACGTAGGGTACGTTTATAGAAAAACGGAAGCACATATTGATGAAAATGGAAAGACCAACGAAGAAAATGATAAACCTAGTAAATGAATGATTCAATCACTATTGAAGAGGAACAATAATGATCCACAATATGGGAATTGATCTCAGTAACTTGAAAAAGTGAGGATGAGAAGAATTAACCCCAGGATATGACACGATGTGAATACCTACCTGTGCAGAGATCGGTGCGGCTCCACTGTTCTGAAATGAGACCTGATTTTCGGGTGGCACTCGTCTTTGTGGCTGTCGTTCACGCCAGTTTAATGTCTCTCTTGAGTTGTTTAACTGTTCTGATGGAGCCGATGTATAATTATCTGGAGTGGATTTCAAATGCTCTGACTGGCCGGAAACAGATGATGTGCCTTGTGAGAAAACCTGGTATAAATTTGGAAAAAATCGTATAGGTGTTACAGATTCCCTGTTCTCACTCCNGTACTTCTTAATTTCTTTTCAAATATCCCATCAAAAACTGAACAAATTTTACTTGACATCAAAAAGTCAAGATCACCCTAATGAACGAGAGAAAACGGTTAGTGCAGTTGTTTACCGGCAGAGCAAAAACCACTGGACGATATGAGAATACCTCTGAGG